CGTCCGATGGAATGTAGAAACTGCGCCGAGCCGCTCCAGCGCCCAGTGCGGATCTGGTGGACGTCTACTGCTGTCGTCCTGTCCATGTTGGTGAGAGGTGGTGGCCATCTTGCACCCATAAGCTCTCTGTACCACCCCGTTGCGGCTTTGCGGTCGGGGTCCGGGTATGTCGGCCTGTCCCTTGCGGCGCGGTCTCTGGCGGTGCGGACTGCCGCTCGGTAGATGGTGTCTACATCGAGCATGACGTCTTCTTGTGCCAGCGTCGCAGCCTCGTTTGCCAGGGCGTCGGCGGACTCGTTCTCTGGGATCCCGCAGTGGGATGGAACCCACTGGAGGGTGACCGTTCGGTCTCCGGCGGTGAGCTCCGGTAGCTGCTTCCATATGGCAGCGCCTCTGGCCGAGCGCTGTGCCGACGGACCCTCTCTCAGCGCCGCTACCGCCGACAGCGAGTCGGTACATATAATGACTGGTTCTGGTGCGTCCCGCTGGTGTTCCAGGATGTGGTCCAGCGTCACCTGCAGGGCGACCATCTCCGCTCGAAAGCTGGAGCAGAGTGTGCCCGCTGGGACACGGAGCTCGGTGCGGCTGTCATCAGCTCCGACGATGAGGGCGCCAGCCCCCCCGCGGAGGATCCCGCCGCTCGACGAGCCGTCGGTCCACGCCCACGTCGCGCACTGCGTCATGGACGCCAGGTGATGGAGCGCTGCGTCTCTCTTCGTGGACCTCGCCGCACCGGCGGGCAGCGCGCCAATGCTCAGGTTGAAGGTGATCTTGCCGGTGGGCGTCCACGGTGGCGGTCGCTCTGGTAGCAGGGCCTCAACCGGCAGCTCAACCCGTAGCTTCCGCAGGGCCTCCCGGCCTACTTGGCGCCACCCCGTGACCAGCTTGAGGCGCTGAGGGGGGTCAGCCATGGCGACCGCTCGGAGGGGGTCCTCTGGCGGGAGCGCGGCAGCCTTCGCGAACATACGCGCCGCTAGCGCAGTACGTCGTGCCGCGACAGGCAGCATGCCAGCCTCGGCCGTCACACCGTGGTGTGGTGCGGAGTGTATGCAGCCCGTGACGATCCTCGCCACGGCGCGCATCTCCCGCTCCAGGATCTCGATGTTGGACTTGGACACTGCCGGCAGCCAGGCAGCAGCCGCGTGCTCTATCGCGCCGCGCACGTAGCCGTTTGCGACGGCGCGCAGCTGCTGTTCTTGCAGCCCCCAGCTGCGGCCGGTGAGACGTCGGAGTTGGGCCGCTCGGGGCCGGACGCGCCGACGGAGACTTCTGCAGTGCGGGCCGAAGCTCAGCGTCCTGTCTAGCGTCACTCCCAGAAGTTTCAGCTCAGGTCCCCCTTCCACCAGTTGACCCGCCACGTGGATGTGACAGTCGACGGCGTCTCGGGGGTTCTGGGAGAGGACGAGCAGCTGCGTCTTCTGACCCGCGACCTCCATCTTACTCCGGCGGGCCCACTTCACGAGCGTGTTGGCCGCCAGCTGCGCCCGGTCCCGGGCCACGGCGATGGAGTTGCCGTGGCGGTGTGGCTCGGTTTACCTTGTCATACGGCGCTGACTAGGGCTGTCATCACTGTGCCAATAGAGATAGGTGCTCGGCAATGCGTCCTAGGCTGAATCAATGACGCACAGAGCTCATGCATGCTAGATGCGTGATTGCGTGAGCAAAGAGTAACTGAGCGGCGAGCCATACTGGAAAGGAAGTGCGCTAGCTAATTCATCCAGAACATTGCACGCACAGCTTATCGTATAAGTTGCTGACATCCGCGTATTTTAAGCCCAGCTTAGCGTGGAGGAAGGAGGAAGGCGTGGGTTAACCCGCGAGTTGCTGGGGGGGGGGGCGTTAAACGCCCCCACTTTTTTCGCCGGGCCATAGCATAAAAACGGCGCGCCGCAGGCGCGCCAAATTTTGGGTACCTGTAGGGAATTGTTTGAAGTTTATTGTGACAAAGTTTCAAAAAAATCGGGCGGGAAATTTTTGAGATATCGAGGTTTTAGTGACGTCATGATTTCTGAGTTTTCGACCAAAAACGGCATATGTTCAAAAAATCATATAAAATCACAGAATAGACATACAGACATGCCGTAAACGCCATTAGACTGCCAATACCATGAACAATTAAATGGCTATCTTCGATTATTGATTATTGTTCCGCATTTTCCAAAATCTTGAACTGAATCTTGGCAATTTCTCGTGACGACTTCACGACCATGATACATGCATTTCTTAAATTGAACTTTTTGAGCCAAACACGTACACATATGATAAAATGAATGTCACCATCGTGTTATACGCCCCAAATTACCCATAAAACATGTGTCACAGGCTGCGAATATCAGTTTTGATTTTCGGGGATATGTGCCTACCCGGTTGACCTGACCTTGACCCTGACCTATGCTTGACTGATCCCTACATGGAAGTGACACTCTTGTAGGTCTTATATGATGGATTGCGCACCGTTTGGACAGAGTTTATGACGAGAGGCGCCCATTGCGAAGTCCTGAAGTCCATGCTACTGAAAGCCCGATTTCAGGTGTTTGACCTGACCTTGACCCGACCTGTGACCTCAAAATTCAATTTTAAACTACTCATCTGAAGCGTCTCGTCGCGTTCTTTCGTTTGCCGCCTCGTGCGTTTCGCTGCGCCTATCGGTTCTCGAGTTATCGGCTGGGGGCGTTTAACGCCCCCCCCCCCCCCAGCAAACGGTGGGTGGCGGAATACCCCAGCAACTGCCGGGTTAAAGGGACTATCCCACCTTCTAAAATGTTGTTAAAACCAGTTAAATTGTGCCCGACTTTATAGATTGGATGACCAGGAACACGGTTCTGGCATTTATCTTTAATTAAACATCTTCGGCTTCCCATATTCCAAACACAAACTTTCAAATATGTGACGTCACAGCCCAAAATTACCTCCTTCCCCAGGCCACATTACTGTCATAAAGCTGATTCTTTTTACTCTGTAGGCACCACAACAAAGTTCAGACCAAGTTTTAAGCGATTTTTCAACGAACAAACCCATTTAAATCAGAATGACTAAACGAGGTGACGTCACACTAACGGTCGCTCCATGTTGAAGATAGGGCCTTGTACAAGGCTCATTTTCAAATGAAGGGAACGAATTTCTTCAACACCAAGAGGCCGCGGGGGTTGCAACCTAGATACAGGGTGTCCGGAAATTGATTGCACACTGTCCATATGCCCGTATCCCGCACATGCTCCCGCCAAACCGGTTAGGCAGGGTCGCGACCCCGCCCCCGGGCACCCCAGCGTGTCAGCTGATCACGTGACCCAGCAGGTGACCTGACCCGAGCCGCAGTGAGCGGCCACAGGTCATTTTCCGAGAGGCAGTCTTCGCGCGCGGGCCCCATATCGGGAATGGTGAGGGAGCACACTTTGACGACGCGCCACCGCGCGGTTGGGATGGTTTAAGCCGGGATGACGGTAGGCGATGTTGCCCGACAAGTGGGCGTATCTCGCCGGACCCTTTATTACTGGCTAGCTCTCGACCGCAGCGGTGCATCACTTGAGAATCGTAAGGGTCGTGGGAGAAAGACTGTGCTGAGCAGAGTGGCCAAAATCGTGCTCGCCAAGGCCGTGCTGAAACGACGCCAATCGACGCGGAAACTGGCCAAAAAAGCTGACTGAGAAGGGTCACCCGGTGTCGAAGACCACTGTTCACCACTACATGACCAAGTGCTTGGGTCTCAAGCCGCTAAAACTGCGCCGCCAGCCAAAACCGACCGAAGCCCAGAAGCGGAAAAGGCTGGCATTTGCCCGGGAGCGGAAGAACTGGACCATCCAGGACTGGCGGCGCGTTTTGTTCGGCGATGAGTCGGTGTTCGAGCTCATGCACCCGCCGAATTGCCAGAACGAGCGCGTCTGGGCGCACAGCAGCGCTGAAGTGCCTGCCATCAACACGGTGAAGCAGCCGCTGAAAGTCATGGTCTGGGCCATGATGAGTCATCAGGGCCTGTCGGAGCTCCACTTTGTCCCCCGCGGCCAGACCGTGACGGCCCAGTACTACGTGGAGGAGGTCCTGAAGAAGTCGGCAGCGTCGGCGATGAAGCGGAAGAGAAAGACGGGGCCGCCAACACAGGTCGAGCTGCTCCCGAAGATGTCCGAGGCGATCTTCCAGCAAGACGGCGCTCCGGCTCATCACGCCACCAGCACTCAACAGTGGTGCCGGGACAACCTCCCAGGGTTTGGGGAGAAGGGTGTATGGCCGGGCAACAGCCCTGACCTGTCGCCCATCGAGAACGTGTGGGCTATCGTGCAGAGCGAGCTCGACATGGTGGAGCCGGCTACCACCGAGAAGGCGCTTATCAGGAACCTCCAGCGAGCGTGGCTCAGCATCAGTGCGGAGACACTGGATAACCTAATGTGCGGCATGCCCGACCGTATGAGGGCGTGTGTGCGACTGGGTGGAGGGTATATCGGCAAATAAACCATGAAACATGCTCGTTTTGTTTCCTTGTCAAATGTAGTAAAAGAGTGTGCAATCAATTTCCGGACACCCTGTAGATAGTGGTTTCTGAACCTCGCCGCAAACTTGGCTATCTCAACTCAAACCCCATGTTAAAGGTGGGATAGTCCCTTTCATGTCAGCCGGTAACTTTTGTATTCGTAGGTAGGCGGGACTCAAAATGAACTAAGTTACGTACGTCGTAGTATTCTAAAGTTCACCGGGGCTCTTGTATCGTTTGTTTAATTCCTACAACTGCTGTACGGCAGTGTTCATTTGCTTTACTTTATTTTACTTCATCACGGTATTTCAGGTACTTCACTGTCACGAGATCTGTGCTGCCTCTCATCCTTTCGGTGTGTAATGTCTTGTAATGTCCCGCTGGGACGGTGTAGTGTCTCGTACTTCACTGTGGCCGTTTTTGGATGCAGTGTCGTCTCGCGTCGGCTGTGGCCGCTTTTAGTGTGCAGTGTGGGGTCCAGTACCCCACTGTGTCCAGCACTCCACTGTAACCGTTCCCCCCTCCCCCGTTCCGTCAGATACGGCCGCGTGCAGAGTGTGAAGCTGCTCTCGGCTGAGGACGCCGCCGGCCCGGCCGCCACGGTAGCCTTCATCGACATCAAATCGGCCGCCAAGGCGCACAATGCCGAAAACCGCGTGGAAGAGCGGCCTCTGCTGACCAAGTACTATGACCCGAACGGCCGACCGGCGGCCGACGAGCCGGCGCGGCCGCCGGCCGGCGTCGGCGGCTACCCGGCCGGCCGCGGCCGCGGCGCCGGCTTCAGTCGCGGGTGAGTACAGCACGGATGACCTGACCTGACCTGGCCTGACCTGACCTGGCCTGACCTGACCTGACCTGACCTGACCCGACCCGACACCACCCCAACTGGCACGGCCTAATCCACATCGGGAAGTTACCTAACCTGATCTGACCTGGTGCACCCTGACCTGATCTTGCCCACCCTGACCCACCCGGATCCCACCCGATCTAGCTCATCCGAGAGGCTGTTCAATCTGACCTGGCGTTTTAGTGGCTCCACCGACCGTCGGTAATTGACCTTACAATTAGTGTTCCTCGCCCCTTCAATCGTTCTGCCCGTTATCTTTTGAATTTTTCACCAGTAGTTCCAACGACTCCCTGTCTCATTCACCCACCTCCTGTACCTCACCGCCTTCGCCCTACACTCCTCCAGTACCCGCCTATCTGTCTGCCTTCCCGCCTGCCCTCCCGCCGGTCTACCCGCCTGCCCGCCTGCCCGCCTGCCCGCCCGCCTGCCCGCCCAGCCATTCAGCCGCAGCACCAACGAAGACAACAGCGATCTGCCAGCGCGACGACGATCCACGACGAGAGCACGGTGCTCTGGTGTGCGGTGCTCGGGTGTTCCCTGTTGGTGTTCGGTGTGCGGCGCGCCCTCCGTGAGGCGTGCCGCAGGGATCCATCAGTGTGCTGCGTGCATGTGTGTGCGACAAGAAATCGACAGCGCGCGACGCGAGCGCGACTCCGGTGCGATGTGACCCGCATGTGCTGTGTGCGAGCAACGCGGCCGCTGGTGAAAGGAGCTGATGCAGCGGAGGACCGGCCGGCGGACGGATGGACGACCCCGCGGCGGGCAGGGCGGACCGGGCGCTCCCTCCTGTCCTCACTCCTCTGAACATCCTGACCCGTCCTCCTCAGTCCAGGGACGGGTGCTATATGAAACGCTGCCATTTCAGGCCCAGAATATTGGTTATTTCGTGCTGTGGACTAGTGATGTCAAATACACAAAATTGGAATACCGATACCAGACCAACTACCAACCAAAACCGTAAAAAAATACCAAAACCGAACCAAGTTGGAAACATATGGGAAATACCAACTTTTTACCAAATTTTCAGCCTCTTGTACATTAGTGAGGGGTAACAATACCAACAAAATACCAAACACATTAGGATTGAAATACCAAATACCAAGTTGGTATCGGTTTGGTATCGGTATACCAAAAAGTTGGTATCCGATTGACATCTCTACTGTGGACCTAGAAATATCTGCTCGTGGCTGGCACGTTTCAGAGTTCTCATCACAGAGATAAATTCGCCGCCGCCGGCGCAATTTTTCCGGCCCGTACCCAGTTAGCCGGGTTGATACTCAGTTTGACGGCGCGGATTGACCGGAATTGCCATTGATTTGGTCTGGAAATAGCCGGTGGCCGGGGCTCGCAGTGCCCCCGCCCGGCCTGCCGAGTGCTGCGGGCCCGTGCTGCTCCAATGACGTCATCACGTTGCCATGGATGTCGTGTGCCGGCCGTATCCGGTCGGTTGCAGCGCCGTGCCGACGGGTGGAGTGAAACCGTGCGGGGGGGGGGGTTGTGCAACGGTCACGTGCCGAGGGTGTGTGTGAGTGTGTGTGCAATGTCTGGGGATGGGGAGGGTGTGGGGTTGGTACGACTCGTACTGTGGATGTTCTGTGCCATTGCATTTGTGTAGCCGTTAGTGGGTATGGTCCGATTTGAGAGATGCAGAGAGGGTAACACCCATGATTGATCACCACTTCTGGGCCATTCGCGTCAGTCATTGAGCTGCAACGATATGAAAATCATCTTTATTATACACTTCGCTCAAGGCATGTAGTATTCATCACACTAACGGTCCTATGCAGGGCTTAATCGCTACGAATGTCTGAAATTAAACGGGTTGCGAAGCATCATGTACAATCAACGCAATTGCATCTGGAATTTCACCATGATTGTAAAAGCTGGGCCTATCAACATGTCAATTACCAAACCTGCTGCTGATCACCAAACCTGCTCACATTTGCACTCGAAATACGATTATTTTCGTTGCTTCATCGGTGCCCATATGATGTAATATTGGTCCCCTTTTTAAACGGACTAGCCTCGTCCGATGGTGCAGCTCCTGCTGTCTGCTGGTGCCGTCTGCTGGCATCACTCCACTCCAAAGTGACCATCGGCGTCTCCTTGGGGACCGATGGGCGCGCGATGACCCTCTGATGGCCCTCCTTCCCTCTGATAGCCGCACTCTGGGATCACCGTGTGCCCGGTGACCTGTCCGAGGTCACTGGGGTCAATGCAGTATGCGGGTGAGCCTGGCCGGCAGCAGCGCGTCCTGACGTGTCCCGGACTGGGAGTCCGCCATGGCGACCGCTGCCAAACAGCCACACACCGCCGGTGGTGCGTGGCGTGCCGGCCCCTCGCCAGCCGCGCCGCCGCGCATCGTGCGTGGCGCTGGCGCTGACGTGGCCCAGCCGCCCCCGGGGAGGCCGGGGGGGGGGGGGGGTCAGGCGATCGACTGGATCGATACCAGGCGCCGGTCCGCCGCCGGCCCGGCCGGCTCGGACGGCGGCCACATCGACCGGGCCGGGCCGGTCCGCCCCGCCGCCGCTGCGGACGTCATGGACCGAGGCGGCGGCGGCGGCGGCAGCGCCCGCTCCGCCGCCGCCGCCGCCGCCGCCGCTCTTTTACGGCCAGCGCTGATGGCGACGGGCCGGCGGTGGCGGAGCGGCGCCGCCGCTCGCTGTGACGAACGGCCGCGCTCCGGCGGCGGCTCGGAGCGACAGCCGAGTATTGAGCGGCCCGGCCCGGCCCGGCCGTGTTGTTGACGGCAGCCACCCGGCTGTGTGTTTGTACCGGCGCTGTACTGCACGGACCGGACCGGTCGGTCGGTTCCCACCGCTGCCGCTGCTGTGGGGCTGCTCAGGTGCGCAGCTACCTGGCTGACTTGGCTTGGCGTGGTTCCACCCGGCCGGAGCTGCTGACGGGATCCCATATGGCGGGGCTGACACTATGCGAGGTTAGGTAGCACCGTGAGGAAGAAGTAATGCTGAGGTGGGCTGGGGGTGAACGGTCGGTTTGGTGTGACCTGTGACGAGGCAGGTGGACGCCATGGGATGACTGACCGTCGGATGAACAATCATCATCGATCAAAATTATCACCTAAAGCCGTTCCGACTGGAGCCTTTCTACCTGTTAGATAACCTGATAGGAAGGGTCGAATAAAAAAGACACGTATCAAATGATCAGACTACCCAGACGCCTCTAAAATCGAGATAAACTGGCTATATCTGATTCCTTTTTATTGCTGCTCGTACTTTTTTGACAGTTGTGAGCTTACCAAGTCAATGATTAAACTTTTTATACTCCTCTGCTATCCACTTCCTGATTAAATTGACCTGAAAATACGGACGAGGGAGAGCCGTCTTCTCGTGTACGTCTGTTTTAATAAATCGAATCAGACTCGCTGACCGTGGTTGCCAAGGTTCCAGAGCACAGGAGCTCCATTCGTTTAGGTTGATTCGAAAATAGATGTGTCGTTTTTAGAACACGACGTTTTTGGAGAACAGTTTGTAGGTTTCATGTTTCTGTGTGGGTTTTCTTGGAAAAGATTATCCTAGTAATCTTTTGTCCGTGCGTCCGTGCTCCATGCGTTATTTACAGGTTTTTGTATTTGTATTTGTTTTCTCTCTCTACCCTCTGTCTCTGCTCTCTCTGTCTCCCTCTCCCCTCTCCCTCACCCTCCCTCTGCCGCTGGTGCCGGCCGAACACTGTGGAATTTCCCTCGTGGAGCGGGACCCCGTCGAATTGATTGCTCGTCGGCCTTGTGTGCGAGCCGACAGCTGCGCCCCGGGCGCTGGTGGGGTGACGGGCCTCTGGGGGAATGTCGAGAGGGACGGGGCGCTGACATTGACCGTCGAACACTGCCACTTCATCAGTGATCCCCTGCGATAGACGGTTTGCTGGTCTCTGGATGACGAAGGTCTGCGTGTGTTTACACCACGTATTTATAGCCGCACGTTTTACGCGATATTCCGGCTTCGGATATGCAAAACGCTAAGGTAGATTTGCCATTCTGGAGCCAGCGTAGTGGAGATCGTTTAACTGACGTGAATATTATGATTCGAGTTCGCTGGTGCGATGGTTGGCGAAGTTGACTTAGCCTCTGAGACGGGATACCCCCTCTGTGAGCGAAGGCCGAGCTTGCATCAGGAAGGCTGGAATTGGATGGACTTTTGAGCGAGTTTAGTCTGGCCCATAGATGTGACTCAAAGTGAATATGAGCAGGCTAGAGGAAATTCAAGACATAAAAAGGAATTCTAATAGGTTTACGTTACTGATCCTCGGAAAGGATTAATGGTATAACTGTGCTTAGCGTTTTTCGTTTGCCTTGTAGTTTTTAGGAATAAATTGGAATGATCTAACATACTAGCCGCCGAAAAACCTCACGAAAGCCTTGTAACGAACTCGTGGTTCGAAAGTTTTGTGTGTTGTTGACAAACACGACGGCTCTATGCAGGCGGTTCTTCCCAGCCGGCCCTGTCGGTTCAGGTGTGTGCTCCGTGCGGGCCGTGGCGTGCTGCGGCGGCCAGCTGCGACCGGCGGCGCTCTCGCACTAGCGTGTGGGGCCCACCGTCCGGCCGGCGTCGCTCGCACTAGCGTGAGAGGCCCGCCGGCCTCTGCGCTGCTCACCGTTCACCTTCCGGTGTGCGCTGCGGGCCGGGATGACGATGGCCTCGCCTGCCGCCGGCGCTGTGTCGGCCGTCGTCCCACAAGGCCCGTCGTCCCTTTGTCGAGCGGCCGGCCCGGCCCGGCACACAGGGAGGGAGGGGTTCGCGCCGGCTGCGGCGCGGTGCGGGAACGAGCAGCACGCATGCGCAGTGCGGCGGCTACCTGGTCGCGCCAGATGGTGGCCAGGTGGACTGGCCGCCGCTGTGCCGCCGCCCTGGGCTGCGGGTCCGGCCCGGCCCGGCCCGCCGCGCCGCCGACCGACGCTGCTTTGTTCAGCGGCGGCGAGCGGGCCG